ATACTCAAGATAATGGATACCCCAAATACTCTGACTTGATCATTACACATTGAATTCATGTAACAAAGTATCACATGCACCCCATAAATATGTACAAATGTTATGTATCAATTTTTAAAATGAAAAAGAAAGGCAAATCTAAGAAAAAACAAAAAAGTGTTTCCTAGGGCTGTGTAAATTGCAGCTACTGGTAGGAACTCTCAAATTAAAAGGGAACCCAAACCAGGGTGGCTTGAGGAGGCAGCATCCCAGAAGGGATGGCTTTTTGAGCTGCCTTGTGGGGGGACCCTGCTGTGTGGCCCCGGTTCACCAGCAGTTGACTAGGAGTGAAGGGAGAGGGGAAGATTTCCTGGTAGTGCCTCTTGTAATACCTTGTTAGTACTTGTAATCAACATGGCTAGGATGAAAGAATTCTGGCTTCAGAACAGAAACATTGTGCTTTAAATTAAATCAGCTCCCTACTGGGAGCCACTTACTCCCCTTCTTCACCACAGCCAGGGAAACAATTCAGAGGTTTCTCTGCATGGTTAGCAGCGTGAGTGACCTTCAGTCTTTCCACTTAGAACCGATTCAAGATGATCACGCTGCCTTAAACAGAAGTCTCCATCTCACCCTTTCCGTTTCTCCCCCTCTTCCCAGTACCTCTGTCTCTGTCTCTCATAGAGAGCCTCACGTTTATTTGTCTTATGTGTGTGTGCACAGGAGGGGCTAAATCCACCCCAGATCTATCACCCTTCCACCTGGCTCAGAGCTGACAGTGAGATTTTGCATCTCCTCACTCTCCTCTCTCCTCCCTGAAGAACAGCAAGCCAGATGGCCATTCCCCAGTCTCCCAGCATGAGTTTGACTGACAGGAGCCTTTGATAAACCTCGGAAGAATGAAGTCATCTCCGGGTCACCGCGGTTGCCTGGCCTTTAACACCCCACACAGACCACCATTATGTGTTGAATAGGAGACAAAGGAAATTAGCCTTGCTTCCCTATCATCCCCATTATTTCCAGGCTGATTTAAACAAGGAAGCAAAGAGATGCCCTTCACTTTTCTCCAAAAGGTACAAATGTCAGCTGTTAAAAAATGCAAACAAGAAGCTTTCCTATGTTAATGGCGGGTTTCTTTGTTATAGCTGAGAAGTGGAAAGTGCATTTTATTCACCGCCTTTGAGGAAAGACTTAACAGGCTTCTAAACAACTTACTTAACTACACATACCTCAGAGCCACTGATGAGTGCGCCTTCAGGGTTTTAGCTAGAAAAAGAAAGGAGGAAGTGGGGCTTCATTCCCAACCTTTAACATCAAAGAACCTGGACAAAGTGACAGGAGTGTTCTACCCATTTAACCCTATTTTTTTTTTTTTTTTTTTTTTTTTTTTGAGACGGAGTTTCACTCTTGTTGCCCGGGCTGGAGTGCAATGGTGCAATCTCGGCTCACCGCAACCTCCGCCTCCTGGGTTCAAGTGATTCTCCTGCCTCAGCCTCCTGAGTAGCTGGGATTACAGGTGCCACCAAGCCTGGCTAATTTTGTATTTTCAGTACAAACGGGGTTTCACCATGTTGGCCAGGCTGGTCTCAAACTCCCAACCTCAGGTGATCCACCCGCCTCAGCCTCCCAAAGTGCAGGGATTACAGGCATGAACCATCACGCCCAGCTTTAACCCTGAAATTGAAAAGGGAAAAAAAAGGATTTCTCTCCTCTTTCCCAAAACAATTCTGTCCCACACAGTAAATGTTTAAGTGCCAACAGAGCAAAGAATGAGGCAAGGGTACCACAGAATTGTCATTTAAGGGAATTGTGGCTGATTGTCTCCTGTCATTGTGTTGCAAGAGGCAGCGTGTGTGTGTGTGTGTGTGTGTGTGTGCGCGCGCGCACATGTATGCACATGTGGGCACTTGTGTATACACATTATAGCAGAAAGGCTCATTATTGGGAAGAAATGTATTCACAACTATTCTATAGTTTCTGACTATTAGGAATTGGGGTAAATAAATTCTCTTTAGATGACAGCCCACACTTTTTCTAAGAAGGCAATGCTCACCATTGTTACCATTTAGGCCATAATACTTTAGAGCTCTGAGTGCTGCAAAACAGCCAGTAGATTTCAATGAAAGGGCAAGTATGAGAGAAATCACAACAATGCAGGTGAATGAATGACTCAATCAATAAACACTTGTTGGGCATCAGGGCCAGACATTGCACTAGGTCCCTCAAGGGATACTAATTTGAAGGCGTAGTCCCCACAAAAGGTTTCCAGCCTAGTAAGGAAACAGGAGTGAGACTGGACCTCGTTCTTAAAGTAGAACCTACATAAGTGAAAAGGTGAGAGGAGGCCCTCCCAGAAAGAAACAAAAGCCTGGAGAAGAAAGAGAACTAAGTGTTGAGGGGTTTCATGGGAATGGGAAGTACTTTTATGAATGGGGTTGAATTGTTGAGGGGTTGGATTTTCTGGATGAGGAATTTGCACTTCCTTCTTATATTAGTCTGCCCTGACTACCATAGCAAAAGACCACAGCTGGTGGTAGAAGCAATAGAAATTTATGTCTCTCAGTTCTGGAGGCTGTAAATCCAAGGTCAAGGTGTCAGCAGGTTTGGTTTCTCCTGTGGCCTCTCTTCTGGGCTTGCAGATGGCCACTTTCTCTCTGCATCCTCACTGTACGTCCCTATGCATGCATATTCCTAATCTTTCTCTTTCTCCTTATAGGGACACCAGTCATATTAAATTAGGGCCTCATCCTAATGACATCATTTAGTGTTAATTACCTTATTAAAGGCCATACCTCCAGATATAGTCACATTGGGGATTAAAGCTACAACAGAGGAATATGGGTTAGGACACAAGTCAGTCTTTAATACTTCATTAGGCAACAGGAATGCAGGGACTGATGGGAGAGGGGTCCCTCAGGATGAGAAGTTATTTTAGAAGCCTAAGTGAATTAGTGAAGAGAGGGGCAAACTAAGAGACAAATTAGAAGGCTATTAAAATAGGCAACAGGTGAAACAGAAAGGACCTGAACTTGATGTTGGCAGTAAATGGATCAGGATGCAAAATAAAAGTGTTAAGAGAAAATCAATAGGACTTGATGACTGATCAGATATGGCAAGCGAGAGAGAAGAAAGATGACTTCAGATTATTAATTCTGAGAGCCTCGGGAAGTGGTTGAAAGACAAAATGGTGCAGAGGACATAATGATATCGAAAGATGGCATGGAAAGGTTATGATGTCTGCAACTTAAGCTCAGACACACTATGTTAGAAATCCAAGGTTTGTCATCTTCTATGTGTGAGACCTTAACAATTTACTTAACCTCCCTACTTCTCAATGTACATTTGTGTTGAGTTGGGGTGATAGCAGGAACCTCACTGAGTGGTTTGTGTTTTATGGATAAAAGGATATCTCCTAATTCCACTGAGATAAAATTCAAAATTACCATGACAGATTGCAGAAGAAGCTTAAGAACAACATATCATTCAAACTGTGGTGAGGTCCTTTAAGGCAGAAGAGTTCAAAATAAATAAGACAAAGAACAACGGTATAGACATAAGAGTCACACTGAACCATGAGATGAACATGGAGGCTGTAACGTAGCTTAGAAACAAGTCTGATCTTGTGCACATGCAACAGAAATGCAACACTTGAGAATCATAAAATAATTATTTGCACTAGAAGGTAAGACACATGTTTTTAAAAAATGGCAAAAGGAAGTTAGGTGTGGTGGCTCACACCTGTAATCCCAGCAATTTGGGAGGCCAAGGCGGGCGAATCACTTGAGGTTAGGAGTTGAGAACTAGCCTGGCCAACATGGTGAAACCCTGTCTCTACTAAAAAATGTAAAAATTAGCCAGGCATGGTGGCGGGCGCCCATAATCCCAGCTTCTTAGGAGGCTGAGGCAAGAGAATCGCTTGAACCTGGGAGGTGGAGGTGATCTCAGTAAGTTGAGATGGTGCCACTCCACTCCAGCCTGGGCAACAAGAGCAAAACTCCATCTCAAAAAACAAACAAACAAAAACAAAAAACAAAAAACAAAAAAAAAGGCAAAAGGAATAAAAAGAATAGAAGAGTTTGCTAAGGAAAGGAATCATCACCTACAAACTGCTGAAAGGTTATTGTTGTTATATAGTAATCAATTCTCCATCTCTACTGAAGGTGGGAGAAGAAACAAAATGGACTCAAAGCAAAGTAGAAGAAATAGAAATGATTTCTGAGGAAGAAATTCTGACAAAGGGGTGAGCATATCCTCTGGGCTGAATTATGTCCCCCCAGTGCTGACATGTTGAAGTCCTAACCCCCAGTGCCTCAGAATGTGACTGTATTTGGAGATTGGGTCTTTAATTGGGTGATTATGTTAAAATGAGGTCTTGAGGGTGCACCCTAATTTAATCTGACTGGTGTCCCTTTAAGAAGAGGAGATGAGGCCGGGCACAGTGACTCATGCCTGTAATCCCAGCACTTTGGAAGGCTGAGGTGGGTGGATCACATGAGATTGGGAGTTCGAGACCACCCTGACCAACATGGAGAAACTCCGTCTCTACTAAAAATACAAAATTAGCCAGGTGTGGTGGCTCATGCCTGTAATCCCAGCTACTTGGGGGGCTGAGACAGGAGAATCACTTGAACCTGGGAGGCGGAGGTTGCAGTGAGCTGAGATTATGCCATTGCACTCCAGCCTGGGCAATGAGAGTGAAACTCCATCTCAAAAAAGAAAAAAAAAAAGAGGAGGACAAAAACAAGCACAGAGAGAAGACCATGTGAGGATACAGAGAGAAGACGGCCATCTACATGACAAACGGAGAGGCCTCAGAAGAAACCAGCCTGACTGACACTTTGAGCTAAGATTTTCAGCCTCTGGAACTGTGAGGAAATCAATTACTGATGTTTAAGCTACACAGCCTGTGGTATTTTTTTTAGGATAGCCTTAGAGTCCACAATACTGAAGATTCTTTTAGCATCTCCCTGCTTTGCAATTTTTGAGAACAGACTAATCAAATTATGAGGGGAGATCTCATCAGATCTTCAATTAACATTTTTATTCCTTGATGACAGCTCCCACCATTGTTGGTCTCTTGTTCAGAGACTCAGTGTGATTTTCAAATAGTTCGAGTTTTGCTCAGCACCACAGAAGCAAATGCCCCCACCTTTGCCATGATTGGTTTTCTGGAATCACAGAAAAACAGAACACAAAGTGGCCTTCGAGAGCACTGTCTAAATTCATTATGTAGCTTAATTGGGCCAATTTGAATACTTTCGTAGCAATCCTTAGGTCCCTTGGGATGCAGCACAGTTCTTAAAGTGGTGATTATTTCATTTTTTTACACTTGCAACTCCAATTCTTTGTAATTAATTATGCAAAAAAAATAAGAGACGTTTGTGGAAGTAAACATCTTGGTATTGCCTAAAAATTAAAAAACTTCCAATTCAAAACATGAATCCTTCTATACATGTCACCCAGTGGCTAATTAAATGCCTTTAATTGTCCAAAACTCCTCTTCATAGAGCTGCCCCTCTGGGTTGCGTGAGGGTGGAACTCTGTATTTCTGTGCCTTTCCTTGGCTGATAGCAGCTTGTAGTAGTTGTTCTTTTAGTCCACCTGGCATGCGTCCCCATCCTACTCTTCACCTTGTCCGTGACCCAAGCCCAGGGAAGCAAAGTCCTTTCCAAGTATTTTTCAGGCTTAGCTGACGGTAAAGAGCCTTCTTTTCTCTCTGGTTGCTAAGCTTGATGAATGACAGTCTAGGGAAACAGAGCAGTAAGAGAATATCAAGTTTGTTACAAAAGTAAGCAGGAGAGAGAGAGAGAGAGAGAGAGACAGAGACAGAGACAGAGAAACACCCTGGTCTTAGTTTTCACTATAGCTAGCCCTTTTTCTGACTTTTCTACCATTTGTGAGCCAATAAGCCCCTCTTGTTTGCTTATGATACTTCCAGTTACATTGTCATCACATGCGAATATGAAACTTGGCTGAGGAATAAGTGTAACACATCCTCTCCAAATGTTTGGAAGCCATCATTAGAGAGATCATATTTTTATTGTCAAACTAGGGCACTTTTGAGAGTGAAATACAATGCAAATTGCAATTATGCTGGGACAATAGCCATACACTTAGACCAGTCCTGTAAACTTATTGTTAGTCTTCTTACCCTTACTCTTTCCAGTTCACACATCCCTGATTTTTTCTTACAAGTCATGGTTAGGAATCCCTCACCACGCTGATTGATATCCCAGTGTCTCTCTTACAATGTGGTAGCTAGAATTGAATCCAGTGCTTAAGATGTAGATGACCAGGGCAGCAGATTACTTGGTTTGGAGCATATATTCCCATGAATCCCACTGATGCAGCCTCAAACTGAATCTCCCTCTTGCTGTCACTCTTCTCTTTAACAGCACTTTACACTGTGGCTAGTACCTGGTTGGTGTTTAAAGACCAATGAATAAATGGCTCATTTTGAGATGGAAGTCAACTATAATCCAGTTAACTTTTGGGGATGGAACTTCACATCTCTCTGTCTTAAATATCATCTTGTTAGTGTGAGTTTATATCTCACAATGTCATTGTTTCTGCCAACCTCTGCTCTTTGTTAAATTTAATAAGCATATCATCTCTGTATTATTATTATTGATGTTGATATTAGCTAACCCTTAGTGCTTCTTATATGCCAGTCCTTATTCTAAGCATTTTAAACTCAATATTCAGAATAAAATTATGATATAAATATTATGACTATTCTCATTTTGAGGATGAAGAAACTGAGATACAACAAGGTTAAGTAGATTGCCTAAGGTCACAGAGATAATAAGTAGCAGAGTCAGGTTTCAGTACAGACACTCTTGCTCCACAATTCATCTTCTTAATGACCTTGCTATTCCTATTCAATTAATTGATTATTGTTACTATTATTATTATTGAGATGGAGTCTTGTTCTTTCACCTAGGCTGGAGTGCAGCGGCGTGACCTCGGCTCACTGCAACCTCTGCCTCCTGGGTTCAAGTGATTCTCCTGCCTCAGCATCCTGAGGAGTTGAGATTACAGGCACCCATCAGCACACCTGGCAAATTTTTGTATTTCTAGTAGAGATGGGGTTTCACCATCTTGGCCAGGCTGGTCTTAAACTCCTGACCTGATGACCCATCCGCCTCGGCCTCCCAAAGTGCTGGGATTACAAGCATGAGCCACCGCACCCAGCTCAATTAATTGATCATTAAGATGTGGAACAGGACAAAGTCAAGGAGAGAGACTGTGGCATCCTACCATGAATACACACCACTCAATGAGTTTGTTTTGTTTCATTATCTACTACTGTACATAACTGTATGATAATAAGCATATAAATAAGGCAATGCCATATGTCTTGCTAAAGTCAAGATACACACTCTTCCCATCTAAATGTTTTAAATGCTTGCAAAACATCATTTTATTAATCCAATCTAGAATTTTCTCTTGAGCTAATGTCATATTAATAGTTTTTGTTCTTTGTATTATTTTCTTCCTTCTTTCCTTCCTTCTTCCTTCTCCTTCCCTTTCCTTCTTTCTCTTCCCTCCTCCTCTCCTTTTCTCTCTCTTTTTCTTCCTTCCTTCCCTCCCCTTCTTCTCTTCCTTCCTTCTTTCCTTCCTTCCTTCCTCTCTCTTTCCTTCCCTCCCTCCCTCTCTTCTTTCCTTCCTTCCTTCCTCTTTTCTTCTTTCTCTTCCCTCTTTCTCTCTCTTTCTTCCTTTCTCTATCTTTCCTTCCTTCCTTCCTTCCTTCTTTCTTTCCCTCCCCCTCCTTCCTTTCTTCCTTCTTTCCTTCCATCCTTCCATCCTTCCCACTCCCCTCCTTTTCGTTCTTTCTTTTCCATCTCTCAAAAGAGTTACATTTGCCTGACTTCCTAATTCTAGTCTATTCTCCCATGCTCCATGATTTCGTAAAGATCATAGCACTTGCCCTGGAAGTCCTCTCTTAACCCAAGCCTCTGATTTCTCTGGGTAAAAATTTGAATTTACTTAGGGATGTTAGCCAGCTTGTGGCTTTTTCACCTAAGAAATTATAGCTATTAGCAGAATCTGCAAATTTGCACAACTGGTTCAACATAGGCTTGCCAGATCAACCAATGACTTGAACTAACTTTGAAAATCTTTCCTCCTTTTGTGAACATAATTTCACTTTGAGGTATTTTAATCTCAACCTAGCCATTGTAAGAACAAATCAAAACACAAGACAATGATGGCCACCACCATCACTGGCACATAATATACTTCCCAACCTACCCCAGACCCCAAGCGATTACTAGGCCAAAGGTTTCAAAAGTAGCAAGACAATTATTTGAATAATTCCAAATGCAGAAAGTGAAAAAACGAAGTGTACGAAAATTGAAGAAATACCTGATGCTGTGGTCATCCTAGATACAAGTTCTTTTGGAGACGGAGAAATAAAAGGTTATAAATGGAATCACAGCTGTGGAAATTAGTCTGAATACACAAACACAGGGCCTAAAATTAATTTAGAAAATCTTGATGGAATTAAATAACATCCAGATATAAATAAATATAAAAAACAGTACTCTTGACCCATCTGGCTATGGGATGCCCAACTGCCTGCCACTGGAAAGGGCAGAGCCAACAACAAATACTGCCAGCCAGGAGATGAGTTTTTTTCACCTCTCTGCAAGGCTGAATAGAAGGAATTTAATTTGCCTGCTTGGCTCTTATGCAATGCCAGGTAACCTTAGAATAAAGAGGGCTTTGAGGGAGAAAGCCAGACGTCCCCAACATGTTGCTGCAATCATATTCTCCTCTTGTCAGATGCCTGCAGACACAGTGACTGACTTGTCCCAGACTGCTCAATGCTATCACTCAGATCCATGAGGCTGTGTCTCCCACAGAGAAGGATGGGAGATACAAAGGCTCCAACTGCTCTCACTGTGAAAACTCCACAGTGAAATTCCATCAGACAGAAGCCAGCTCTCTGCTGAGTGAATTGGGCCTTTTATCAGTCAGATTTGTATACATTATAGAAAGAGCCAAAGAAGGGAGTTACTGTACACTTCGTATATTTTTAGTTCCCTAGGATTAGTTGCTATTGGACCGAACGTTTGGGGAAGAGAAGTAAAAATGCAACTTCAGTCCTCTGTGTATGTTGGTGGCTTCCTGAGGTCTCCAAGTTTTTCTGGACTTGCCTGTTTGCTTTTCTGATATACCACAGTACGTTCTGTAGCTCAGAGGGCATATTATCTATTTCATGTTCCAAATTTTACCTCTGTTTCATTTGTTTTTCAAATGATTTACTAATGAGGGCCACTGTGTGTGTGTGTATGTGCATGTGTGTGAATACACACTCATGCACACAAATTTTCATTCATCTGATTTTAGATTTGAGCCTAACTCATCCTACTCACCCAAAGCAGCACAATAAAAACATTTCTGTTGGCAGAATCAGCAGGGAAACCTTTGCAGTCCTCTTGCTTTCTTCATTGACTTTACTTATTGCAGAAGCAGTTCCTTGTGGTAAAATAAAAACAAAAACGAGCAAATAAGTAGGCTATGTGGGTGTAGAGATAACATTGCTGTCATTAGATTTACAATAAAAAAAAACCCGATATTGTTGACTTGGTCTTTTACAGAGTTTTGTAAATAGAAACAATTTTTCTACCATTTTATTCACTGGCATAATTTGTCGGTCATTCTTACTTCTCTTCAACTTTCTTTCAATTATCTAAGGTTTCAATTATTCAACAAATATTCATTGAGCACCTATTACGTGGTAGGCATTTACTTGGTACTGAGGATGGGATGGGACAATGAATAAGACAAGCATGGCGCTTGCCCTCCTAGACCTACAGGATATTCCATTAAAAATATGACACAAGGATTATTCCCATAAAATCCCTCAAATTACATTGTAGACACTATTATTAGGGATCAATGCAGGGATGATGCCACATCTCTAGGGACAGAAGAAGAGGTAAGGGGATGAAAATTAACCAAAGAAAATAATCTGTTTAGCAAGGTTTGTAGACATACTACTGTATGGCTCTCGAAGGCTGTATACAGAAGACGGAGTCCTTGCTTTCTTCTTCCATCCCGAAGAGATAAATCTGATTTCCAAACTCCAGGCTAGTTTCTATTTCCTCCTAAGCTACTGTGTACACTCCCTTCTAGTTTTTACACTGATGCTGCTGAACCAATATATTTCATCAGGCTCTACTTCTTTGGGGTGCAGTTTGAGTGTACTAAGGTAAAACAGCTATCTCTTTACATGGAAGTGGCTTCTGGTCCTGGCTCAGAAAGACCCCCAGGCTTGGTTTAAGGCTCTGCTGTTGCTGTCTTAAAGTTCTTGATACTTTCAAACAAGGGGTTCCACATTGTATTCACAAATCCTTAAAAATTATGTAACCAGTCCTGTCCTTATAATTAATGGGCAACCGGTAGAAAATTTTGGACCTTGTGGATGGTGAGACTCTGCTTGGATGCTAATTTTAAGCTCTTATCCTCCACCTAGGTTTAATAGATAACCAGGTTTTGGAGATTATGGCACTGGACAATTACTCATCAATGCTCAATAAATAATTCAAGTGATTACTGCCCTAATATGTATTTGACAAAAATTTACTGAACAAAGTTCTTACAGAGGGACCAAATGAAGCTTAAGAGTTGCACTGACCAGTGGCTTATGAGCTCTTTGACAGCCATTGTGTTGTTAAAGGAGAAATGAAAAAAAGCCTGTACATGATTGTTAAATCATACCTAACAATTCTTACGTAGAATATGGAACTTGGAATCAAGAGACCTGGGTTCAAATGCAGATTTTCTGTTTTACCTCTTACATGACCTTGTTTGAGCTACTTATGCATTTGGGGGCTTTTACATTTTTTTCTATCTAGAAAACAGGGAGAATAATACTATGTTCTGGGTCGTTGTGAGGATTAAATTAAACAGCGTAGGTTAAAGTGCCTATCAGAGTCTGTGCCGCATAGTAAACACTCAATAAACCATTGTGCTGGTTTGATATAATTATAACTCTTTACTTAGAATTCCTCTGCATGCATTCATTAAGAAAAAATAATGAGTTATTATTATTAGAATTTAATAGGTTATAATTTCTCAAAAAAAGATGATCATTATATTTGTTTTTACCTCTCTTCTTTTTATCTTCTCAACGCTAGCCAACATTACTACCAGTGGCACAAGGATTCTTTTCATTAAATAGGATTTATTTACCGGGACACTTACAGGGACATGAATCTTTAATAAGGTTCAGTCAGATCCCAGGAATTTTGTTTATGTGGTGTGTGTATGTGCACAGCTATGCACAATTAATCAGAGTTTTCAAAGTAAAATCAAGTTAACTTACCACCAAGAGTCCCCCGCCCCCTACCGCTTCACCAAATTACTACTGTCACTCTTTCTAGAATCCAACCAGTAAAGAATTTGGGGTTTCATCTAGAGATGTGTCTGCGGGGATCATTTCTACATCAGAAACAAATAACCATTGTTTTCTTTAACCAGTGCCTTTTTAGCCAACCCACAAAATAGACTTTGTCCATTTTTTAATTTAACAAGCAAAACTCACATCAACTGAGTTGGATTTGGCATAATTTTAAGAAGAAACATTATCATCACATTCAATTCTCTAGTTATTCTTGGCTTTGAAAGGTGAACATGAGGTTATCATCCAGGTTCATGGAAAGCACTAACGATGGTCTCGGGGGAAAGGGCAGTTTAGACAACTCCAAGGTAATGGGCGTGGATGTGGTTCAAGAGCTTCTCCATCCAGGGCTGCCAAGAGCACATTTCATTATAACCACAGACCATGACAACTCTTCAAGAAGTAAATTCCATGAGTTGTAAAAATTCTTTATATATTTATTATAAAATATTCGGAATTGTTTCGTGACACACTTGAGTGTTAACTATTTGGCTGTATATTTTACATATGTAAACCAAAATAACTCAATGAAATAGCTTCGTTTTACAGAAGGTGAAACTGAGGTTTAGGGAATTTGAGAAGTGCTCCAGATTATACTTGGACCTGGAAAAATCAGGACTAAAACCAAGCCTGTCAAACACCAAAGGTGGTGCTCTTACCCAGAATGACACTCTGTCTTCTATTCTGCCATTTACCCTCCAGCTCTATACCTCCTCCTACTTTCCTCATTTACAACTGAGAACATAGAGAAGTGAGCTCGCCTGCAGGGCTTACCAGGGAAGAGAAAAGAGTACGTAGAGAGAAACCAATTACTTAAATATTAGATCCACAAGCTCGATGTTCAGATCAGAGGTTTCCTAAACATCCTGACCTTACAGCTATCCTCATGCAATAGTGTATCACCAAAAAAATACATTAATATACATGCATATGAATGAAAATGATACCTCCCACAAATTATCTTTTTAGAAATAAAACTGGGTTTTAGCTTAGACAATAAGTACTTTCAGGATACAGATGTCTTTTAAACATGTAGCATAATTTTGGTATTTAATAATCTGGAGGGAAAAAATCAATAATCATCATGGTACTAGCTATTAAAAATCTGTATTTTTCACATTCTACTATTTTAAATAAACCATTTGTAGTAGGGTTGGCAAACATGCTCATACTCAATTTCATTCTATGCAAGCATTGCACACATGAGGGACTCTTCGTTTGTTTGTTGATTTTGGCCGAGTTAAAACCTCCATTGCTATCTGAACATGTGAAAGTTTTCAAACCTGCTAACGTGGAGTTTGCACCTGACAGAAGGGAAAAACATTTTAACAAGCTTTATTGCATCTGTTGAGAGAAAATGAAATGAAGTTTGCAGTGATATTTGCTTTTTAACAGAGCCAGTGAAAAAGCTGTGGAAAGATAAACATAGAAAACAAAAAAAATAAAAAGAGAGAACTTGCTCAGATTATACTTTTCTTTCTCATTTTGTGTTTTTCTGACTCCCACCTACTTTTCTCTCTAATTTTCTGCCCCGGCTGAAAAGGATAAAATCCTTTTACATCTCTACATGCCAATTTCCACAGCTTCTGCTCCTTGCTAGCAAGTAAAACGTGGTCCAGCCAGAAGACTGCATGCTGGTTGTTATGCCATGAACACCAGAAAATTCCAAGGAAGCGTGCAGAGCTCTATTCAAATGGCCTCTAAAAGCCCTATACTGGGAGAAAGAGAGTGACTGTCTCTTACAGTTTTTTAAACCGGGCATCCTTGATGCAAAATAATTTCCCAACCCTTTTACTAGCTTATTATCTCCTGCCCCCTTCCAAAAAATATTTAAAATTAGCTTTCTGGATTCAACATGTAGGTCACTTCATTCAAGCTTCTGTTCATATGTCACCACCTCCGAATGGCCTGTGCCAAACACACTATGTAAAATGTCACCCCACGCCCCTGACACCTTCTATCCCATTTTCTCTTGCTTTATTTTTCTTGATAGCAGTGATCACCACCTGACACTGCATCTTTTGTTCATTTATTCATTGCTTTTCTCTCCTTCCAGCATGTATGTGCCATGAGAGTAGATTAATTGACCGCTGTACCCTAAATGTGTTGAACAGGATCCCACATCTGATACTCAATATATGTTTGTGGAATTAATTAAATACCTGTGAAAACAAGCTGAATCATATGGAGCTGGCAGCAGTATGCTGACATGCTATTTTCTGATGTCATTTGTTCTCACCTAATTCTGCCTGAAGAAAACCTTTTCAGGGAGGCAATCTTTAGTCCAAGTTTCTTCCACTTCTTTCTTCTGTTCTCTGTGTAGTCAGCCCAAAGGATATTTGAGTTCAATTTGCAGAGAAATGCCATAGATAGAAATGATAATGTCCCTTCAACTTAAAAGGGCCGAGCATGTTTTGAAAGTGTTTTATGAACTGGAAACCTTTCTATGAGATATTCCACTGTAGCCCCATAAAACCTTACACCCTGCTGGAATTTCATCCTGTTAAATTTGGCAGTGTTTCCTTCCTCAAGTAATGAGTTCAATTCGTGTTTTCATTTAAGTTCATACCCAGATACAAATCAGTGTCACTGCCACAGGCAACGATTCGCAGAATTCCCAGGCGCCAGGGCTGAGGGATGGTGGGTTCAGAAGAACGTATGCCAAATTCTCTTTTTCACTGGGGGCAGTGTAGCATTTACTGTCATAAGCCCGCCTCATGCCAGGTCCCATGGAGGCAGTTGGCTAAGTGGGCTTCCGGCTTCTATCTCAACGCAAGTTCGTCTTCTAAAGCCTCTCTGGATTTCCTGTGGTAATCCCTCTTTGTGTCCCTCTGAGAAAGAAACAATAATCGTTCATTTTTTTTTCTTTTTTTTTCCCCAAGAAGAGAGTTCAAGAGCACAAGTGGTTTTAGTTAAGGATTCAATAAACACTTTGGCAAGAATGAGGAAAGCCGTGTAGAAAAGACCTAGCGGTTCTTCCAGTTGTATTAATAGTTTAAGGGGGTATTTTCCCATGAGGAAAACAGGGCATAGTCAATACTCTGAGAGACCACCTCTGTCCTTTGCTGATACGTCAGGTAATTAAAATCTTATGCTTACTCAATGGCTCTTTTAAACATGGTATTATTAAGGAATGATTGCTTTTGCAACAAAGAAGGTAACAATGACAGCAAGAGCATCAGTGTGGAAGTTCTTCTCCACCTGTCAGGGAATCTATTCTGATTTGCAATGACACTATGACTTCTTGCAAGCAAACACCTGGAGACAGGACAGGTAGTGCTGAACTTCAGGACAAGGCCATCACGTAAGTCTTCATTTGGGTCACTGCAGCCAGCTCATCCCTTCCTCAAGCCACATTCCCAGACTTCGAAGAGATCACGTCCACTTGAAGGAGAAAAGACAGTGGAGCACAAGGTTTGAAAATAACAGGAGGAAAGTAGTTCGAGGAAAGTAAAAAAAGAAAAAGATAAATTGAAAAGTAAAGTGTTTGCCTTCTTTATATTCAAGAGATCTAGCTAATTTACACAGACACACACATGCGCACACACACACTCTCATATTTTACTAGCCCTTTTACTCAGCTGTAAATTTGTTACTCTGAGCTTCCACAATCAGAGGATTGAAGCCATTGTACTAAGAACCTCAAATCTCAGTATAAATAGCCCCACTGCTTTTCTTCATGCCAGGTGAGGCAGACAACTGAGCCCATGCTGAGCTAATGGTTGACAGACCCCTCTGAGAGATCTGTCTGTGGAACTCCCTTGAGATGGCTATGCTATGCTATGAAACATATTTTCTTTGTGTACAAATTAGAATAACATTTAGATGCCTGATGATGCTTTACAAGGCCTTCTCTATTAAAAAATAGTTATTTTTCTACTCTCCCTTTAGAGGCTTCTTCTAAACCCTAATTTGGTCCCACTACTTGGAGATCAGTATGCTACCATTTGGCATAAAATTGAATGTCTTCCAAATCGTCCCATAATAAGTTGAAATATACATGTAAGTATTCATTTAATATGATAGCTTTTATATCAATGTGATGTATTGATTAATCAATTAATGTGTTAATTCATCAATTATTTATTGAACACCTATTAATTCCAGGTATTGCCCTAGAAGCTGGACACTGTGAGAAGGTATAATGAATACAAGCTCTTTGGCATGTATTAAAAATATGAGGCTTATGTGGGAAACAAACAGTCATTAATATACACTGTACATCATGCAGGAGATACTGTATGTAAAAGCTATTTCAGACACTAAGGCATTTGGTCCAAGGCATATTCTCTACATTACAAGCAAATTCTATTTTGCTCATTCAAATAATTCTTGGCATTTTGATATTTTAAGTTGTCATATCTCAACCCAACATGCAGGAAGTGACCTGGCTTTGAAACGTTGTGTTTAATCAGGAGCTTTGATCTGGTGTGACATCAGTGTGCCTGTTGCAAGAAACTGTTTTAAGTCCAAGAGCAAAAGCCATTGTCTCCATTATCTGTGTCACACCTAA